GAAAGAAAGAAAGAAAGAAAGAAGAGGAGAGAGGGAAAGTCAAGAAGGAGTTGTCTGTTTGAGCAGAGCAAGAAACTCTGGCTGGATTTACCTGGCACCAGCAGGAACACACTTGAACCGGTTCTGCTAATTGCTTTCTCTGGGGCTTAGCTGGAAGAAACACAAACAAGCAGAGAGCTTGAATTTTCAGGGGCACAACAGCATGTTGAAGCTGTTCATATGCGACAGGCAGTAGGATGATGCTTTGGAATCCAGAGCATCATCCTACCACCACTGATGGCTTCAGCAATTACATGCCTCTGCAAAGGCCATATTCTCTGTGTTTGTCATTGTTGCTGCTGCATGCCTTCATGTTGTTTCCAATGTATGGTGACCCTAAGGCAACCCTATCATGGGGTTTTCTTGGCAAGTTTCTTCAGAGGGGGTTTGCCATTGCGATCCTCCCAGGCTTGAGAGTGTGACTTGCTCAAGGTCACCCAGTGGGTTTCATGGCCAAGCTGAAAATCGAACCCAGGTCTCCAGAGTCATAGTCCAACACTCAAACCACTGCACCATGTTGTTCCAAGCATAGACAAAGGTTTTTTTTTGGGGGGGGGTTGCAAATAAAGTAAAATAAACCTTGCACAGAGGTGCCCTTCAGACGCTTATGGTAGGGACCCATGGCAAGCGGTTGGTTCTGTGACACTGGAGTGGTGAAACTTCTCTGGGTTTTAATCTCAGCCTCCAAGGAGCTGTCCAAGGTACTGTATTTTATTCTCAGAAGAGGTTTGATACCTGGGACAGCTCATTCAAAGTTCAAACTAGAATTTATGATAGCTCCACCATCTCCACTCCAACATGGAAGGCATCAATCATCCCTGGGAGCAACACTAAGATGCCTCTCTCTGAGCGCATCCCATGGTGTGGCTGTAACAACCCGTGCCACCCCACAAGCAAGATCCTTGCCACACAATCCTTAGTCCCAATTCTGGTTGTTGGTTGTGTCAACAAGATGGGCATGATCTAACTTCTGATCATAGCATAAATCCATTCCAAAATTTCACACTACCTCACTGCTTGCCATGGCATCTCCTTGTGAATCATGACACATGAAAATGACGAAGAGGGTCAAGATGTGATCCAGAGAAGGGCAAATCCAGAGTGTCAAAAAATGACGAAGAGGGTCAAGCATGGTGTAGTGGTCTGAGTGTTGGACTGAGACTCGGAAGACTAGGGTTCGATTCCCGGCTCGGCCATGAAACCCACTGGGTAACCTTGGGCAAATCACACTCTCTCACTCTCAGGTGAAGGCAATGGCAAACCTCGTCTGAACAAATTTTGCCAGAAAAACTCTATGATAGGATTGCCTTAGGAGGAACTTCCTGACAGTAAGAGCTGTTTGACAGTAGAACACACTCCCTTAGAGAGTGGTGGAGTCTCCTTCTTTGGAGGTCTTTAAACAGAGGCTGGATGGCCATCTGTTGGGAGTGCTTTGATTGTGAATTCCTGCATGGCAGAAAGGGATTGGACTGGATGGCCCTTGGGATCTCTTCCAACTCTATGATTCTATGATTCTATAAAGTAATTCTATACAATGATGACGTTCATGTTTAATGGTCAAGATCATGTTAGTGACACATACTTATGTAACTCTCAAACATGCCAACATATACACTTTTAATGCTGTTACTTAAGAAGATATCTTGTACTTCTTCGCGCAATGTTGAGGAGCCAGGTCAGTTCCATTTTCTCAGCCACTGATGGGGCATGAAGCTGCACCAGATGTATTCTGGATGTTCACAAATATCTGGAGAAGGAGAAGCACCCTTACACTAGAGTTGGAGATTGTCCCTTCTGCATTGGGTGCACAAGAGCATCTCTAGCTTGATCAGTGGCCAGGAGAATAGTCATGTCTGGGAGCCATACCTTCCAACTGTCCTGATTAATCCTCTGTCATCCTTATTTTTCAATTGCATTTAAAATGTCCCAGTTTCTCTCTCATCCCTCCCTTTGTCTTCAGCTTATTTCCATTGCTGCGAGACTGAGTTCTAAGTCCAAATGTAGCTTGCAGTCAATAAACTCAGCAATGGGGAGAGGAGAGGAAGGAGAGGAATATTGCCCTTCCCTGTAGACTCAGGCAAAAGCAAACTGCCGCAGCCTCTCCTAGCTTGTGTGTTCTTTAATAAAAATTTGCCATCTTGATCTTAATCTCATGTTGCTTGGCCACACATGTCCTAATTTTCATCTGTGAAACGTTGGAAGGTATGGGAAGCACCCCAGATGCTCTTGTTCATTGGGGAGGATTTGAGGGAAAAGGGAACTGGTCCCTCTCTATGATGATGATGATGATGATGATGATGATTTAGTGTATTTATACCCTGCTCTTTAGAAATGCTCTCAGAGTAGCTTACAATTTGTAACAATTAACCATTTGTAAGCCTCATTCACAACTGTTAATATATAAATATACTGGTGGAGGAGATATATATATTAGATCTAGGCCAACATGGAAGAAATCTGACCACCATTTTGTTGAGGAGTTTTCCAGCAGTAAAAAAATAATAATCCTTCTGGTCAGTTAGTCACCGTTATTGAACACCGTTTCTATGACCCAAATCAATAGACCACATCCGCCGCTCTGCCCAGCTCTATCTTCATAATTTTGGGGAAGAGCTCCTTAAATCCACCTTGGATCAATATTATTTTTAACAGAGGAAAAAGACATTTCCTGTAATGAAAAAATAAATGCACCTAACTTCCTGTTTCCCAGACTTGGTGTACTTAGCTAGTTTTTCAAAACACTAACAGTGCCGTACACCCTGAAGCTAAATTTAGTTAAAAACCAAGTTCAGACACGAGCCGACTTTGAATATCAAATTTAATAGGATCTGTGGGAGGGCGGAAAGGCAACCATTTCAGAAAACAAAAGTAAAAATGGGACTCAGAGGCCCTTCAGTTTGTATTTATGCAGCAGTATTATTTGAAATATTTTAAAATCAGGAGACAAATTGGGATGCAAAGTCAAGCCATGGCTTCGACTAAAATAGTCATTTACCGGTCAAAGAGATTCAGATAGACTATCCCTTCACTCCCCTGAGACAAATAATTCTGCAGAACATCCCACTTTAGATTAAAACCTGCGCCTGCCGCACATCGGATGAGTCACCCATGTTGAACAAAACAGAGATAATTACTTGGTTTGTGACAGTCAGCACAAGTAGACAGTTCTAGCCCCTTGGAAGACAAAGCTGGCTATTGTCTCAGAAATATATTTTGCTTTGGAAAAGATCCCTGGCTTCCCTGTGTCTGCAAAACAAGGCAACCGGTGAAGTGGAAAAGAAGAGAAACTTTTGCAAAGCTTTCAGAAGAGACTGCACTGCCCCCTTCTTCCCCAACTTCAGTTCGGTGTGTCTTTATCAGCAACCCAATAAGGGAAAAAAATATTCAGTGCATTTATTCAACCGCTTTTACTTGTTCCTGCTGTTGTGTGCCTTCAAGTCGTTTCTCAAGTATGGCGACCCTAAGGCAAACCTATCATGGGGTTTTCTTGGCAAGATTAGTTCATAGGAGGCTTGCCATTATCTTCCCTTGAGGCTGACTTGCATACTGATTTTTTTTATTACTAATTTATTACTAATTTATTAACAATTTTATTACTAAGTGTCACATTCCGGCCTGAAATGTTACACTTGAAAAGGCACAGGAGCACTGAGAGAAGAAAATATGGCAACGCCGAAGTGAACAAAAACTCCCGAAATACCCTTTCCAAATCAAATTTGCGCCACACGCAGCCTCTTGGATGAGGAACCCTTTTGCCCAGAATGACTCAGGATGAATACAACAGATTTGTTCCAAGCATGATGTGTCTCTTTTTCCATCCTCTCCTCCTTATCCTTATAACCAAATCCCATGCCTTTTTTAGACGATGTGACAGACGACGGGTGACATTCCTGTGCCCTGGCCAGAATCCAGGCCCCTCTGCCGAACAATGCAAACAGAAGGAAGGGGTTTTGTGCCAGGGGAAGGATTTCCAAAAAGATCTCCAAAAGGTTTCGAAATTTCCAAAACGATTTCCAAAAAGATCTCCTTACCTTGTTGGAAAGTCCAGACTGCTTACTGGTTCAGTGGGTGTATTGTTCCCTTCTTCTTGCTCCTGGACTCGAGAGGGTCCCCTCTGATCTGGCTCTTGGCAATGTCTGTTCCTCTGCTACCTTTGACAGAAGAGGGCACCTCCTAAAGGAAGGGAATTTAATCATGTATTTACTTACCAACATGGAACCCTCCCCTCGATCTGTCACACCCTTTTCTTTTCAATGAGAATCACACAGGAGGGCTCCAAGAAGCAGCTGAAGCATGCATTTTGCAAGAGTTTTCAGTACTGGAGGAAGAAAGAAATCCTTCTGTGGTTTCCGTTGTTACTGAAATGTTCAGTAGGTTCCCTCTCATGTGTAAACCCTGGAACCCACCTCAAAAATACTGGAAAATGACAACTAAAGTTGAGCAAAAGAGCTACAAAGTATCTGTGTCTGAACCTTAATGTAGTAAATCAAAAGGAAATTGGGGGAAAAATATTAATAGAGTCAGCCCTCCATATCCACAGAGTCTTCATCCACAGCTTGAAAATATTTTTAAAATATTTACATTCTTAAAAGCAAACTTTGGTTGTTCCATTTTATATAATATCATATAATTTTATTTAATGGGACTTCAGCATCCCTGGATTTTGGTATCTATTGGGGGTCCTGGAACCAATCCAGGGGATAATAAAGGCCCACTGTATTATGATGATCTGGCACAATGTTTGTCAAATAATAATAATAATAATAATAATTTGCCCCCAAAATAATTGGGGGAAGCCAGCATAACGTAGTGGTTTGAGCATTGGACTAGGACTCTCAGCTTGGCCTTAAAATCCACTGGGTGACCTTAGGTAAGTCACACTGTCTCGGCCCCAGAGGATGGTAATGGCAAACCCTCTCTGAAGAAATTTGTCACAAAAAACATGATAGGGTCTCCATAAGTTGGAAAGGTACACTTGAAGGCAAACAACAACACAACAACCAGCTCCTCCAGACACTTAATAGCCCTTTAGCCTTTATTTTTCCATTCACACATTACATTCTTCCTGCATCTGATACAAAGTGGGCTGGAGTCTGCAAAAATTTGTGCCAAATAAATGTTGTTAGTATTTAAGGCACCCTGGGTCTTTTCCTCTGTCTTCTCCAGGGGTGTTTTGGAAATGATTTTTTGCTTGAAATTTTGTCAATGGGGAGAGGAGGGTTTCAGGGATTCTTGGGGGGGGGACAGTTGGAGAAAATAAATTATGGGGGCCAGATACAGCCCATGGGCTACACTTTCCCGATCCTTGCTCTAGGTGTGCGCTTAACATGGTTTGAATGCACTCTTGCAAATGCAAAGTGCAAACATGACAAACAAATGCGGCTCATGGCTGCAAGCTTCTTGTTAAGTGACTCTCAATGGAAAACCCAGGTTTGAACTCTTTGCACTTATAAGGCTAAAGGCCTTATAAGACTACAAATCCCAGGATACCATAGGTTGGCACTACAACACTTCAAGTGGTGACAAACCCCATCATTTCTACAAATTTCTATCCACCCTGGACTGATGAGCATATTCACAGCTTGAGATTTGTTTTAGGCAAATTTTGCACATGACATTTTTGAGCAGAGGATGTCGTTTTTTGAGTTGAACGTAATATTTCTTCAGAGTGATGTTATATTTGGTGGAGAAAATTGCTGTTCCCTTATTTGGAGAAGGCAGTTTCCTATGCAAAAATACCACATGCAAATTTTGTGCCGAGTAAGGTCCCTAGCAGAATTTTCTGCAGTTAATTTCTACAGAAAAAGTTATTGCACAGAAATAAGTCCAAATGGTCTCTAAAAACTGCATAGTTTTCAAAGATGGTTGTGTGTATGTGTGTGTGTGGGGGGGTTGCGACAAAGAGAAAATTACTAAAATTACTCATTGCTTCCTTTGAGAGCAAAATTAATGAAAAATTACATCCTCATCTTTTAATCAAGATGTAGTGCAATGCATTTATATAGTCCATGGCCACATCCATGCCTCAAGATGATTTTGAGGCCCCCAAGTTGTCTCCCACCCCCCCGCAACCTTCCCAAAATATTTGGTTTTGTAAGTATCCCTCAAGATCCAGTTTCAAAATGTTAAATCCTAATTCAATGAAATGTTGCAGCTGCATAAATTTCAGTTTCAGTTCTCCTGCATTCTAGGTGTA